TAGTAACGCCGCTAATAGAAAAGGAAGATACGATAATGAGAAAAGCTATTAGTCCTCACGAAAGGTTATCAACGACATTGCGGTTTCTAGCTTCTGGTCGGTGTTTTGAAGACTTAAAGTTTTCTGCAATCATATCACCTCAGTCATTAGGTAAAATCATACCTGATACATGTGCAGCAATTTGCCAAGTTCTTAGCAAAGATTACATAAGCGTAAGCACTTTTATAAAAAAAACAACTACTTATATTAAATATCAAATTGTATTTTTATAGTTTCCAACGACTGAATCGCAATGGATACAGATAGCGCGGGAATTTCAAGAAAAATGGCAATTTCCTCATTGTTTAGGCGCAGTGGATGGCAAGCACATCAGAATTGCACGACCAGCGAATAGCGGATCATTTTTCTATAACTATAAAGGATTTTACAGCATAGTTTTGTTAGGTATTGTAAATAGCAATTGTGAATTCTTGCTCGTCGACGTCGGTACCAATGGCAGAATTTCGGACGGCGGTGTTATAGAAAATACAAATTTTTACAACAAACTAATACATAATCTTCTAAATATTCCGGCAGAAAGACAAGTACTTTGTACTGAAACAAAGTTACCTTTTGTTTTTATAGGAGATGAAGCGTTTGCTTTACGTTCTAATTTTCTAAAACCTTTCAGTCGAAAAGAGTTGAGTTACGAAAACAAAATTTATAATTATAGATTGTCCCGTGCAAGAAATACGGTGGAATGTGCATTTGGAATGTTAGCTTCCAGATTTCGCATTTTGCACACCGAAATTAATTTGAAACTAGATAAGATTGAAAAAGTGGTATTAACATGTTGTGTGCTTCATAATTTTTTAAGATCAAAATGTGATTCAAATTTGGGCACGTCACTCACTTCAGATAGTAATATACGTGCAAACTTTACAATTACAATACATAACACTGTTTCGTTATCATATATAGTGTATCGTGTCCTTATGTATCTTAACCCTGCTGTACGAATGAATAAATCAAGCTGGCCGTGCAAAATCAAGCTCAACCAGATCGTATCGTGCCATGTCTAGACCTGACAGCGTCGTCAGTTTTGAGACATAGACGATCACATTTGCTCGTGTGCATTAGCTCTGCGTGCAAATGTGACAGTTTTGCATCACCGTGTATGGGCCGGTTTTTATCTCGGTCCCACTGTTCCTGCCATGCTTCGCTGGTGCGCTTTGCGATCAGGTTCTTCAGTCCGGGTTTTCCCTTGCTTCCCATCTACTTCGTCTCTCTTGCGCAAGCAATTCAATTGGTGTTACTCCAGCCACAACTGAAACGGCTGGGCCGGAGACCGTTCTATAGGCGCTGGCTACTCGGAGCGCGCCTCGACGTTGGATTGTTTTTGGGCGCCTCCACGCTGTCAGCCCAACTGTCGCAGACCAGACCTCGCTACCGTAAAGTAGTATGGTATTAGATACTTCCATCAACAATTTTCTTTTCGACGCCGTGGGCCCGCCAACGTTTGCCATTAGCCGCGAAATGGATTGTACCACTGTTGCAGCTTTATCGCAGACCGTTTTTATATGTTTCGTAAAAGAAACCTTACTATCGATTGTCACGCCCAAATATTTTATCGCCGTCGCAGTGGTGGTATCATTGTTGCCGGTCTTCAGTGGCGCCTCCAGAGGGACTCTTCGCCTCGTGAGAAGGACGACTTCCGTCTTTTCTGTAGCTAGTTTCAACCCGCGATTGCTCGTCCAGGTAAGTATCCGCCTCATGGCGCCGTTGGTTTTAAGCTGAAGCTCAAACATGTCTTTGGCTAGAACTACGGCCGCTAAGTCATCGGCGTAGCCTATTAGGTGACAATTTTCAGGCATGGGTAATTTTAGAATGTCGTTATAGAAAACATTCCATAGTTCGGGCCCCAGCACGAATCCCTGGGCCACCCCGCACGTCATTTTCCTTGTACTCTGTCCCTCAGCGGTGTCGTAGATGATGGTTCTGTCGGAGAGGTAAGCTCTAAACATTCTCATTAGGTACGTTGGAGTGTAAAAATCTCGTTGAAGTGCAAGGAGGATCTCTCCCCACCGTGCCGAGTTAAAAGCATTTCGAATATCGAGCGTAATCAAAGCCATAATCGGTCTGGAATAACGATTTACGCGCTACGCTCTTTGAAAGGTGCCGACGATGTCGTGAATGGCGTCTACAGTGGAGCGTCCGTTGCGGAAACCATATTGACGATTAGACAATCCGCCCGATCTCTCGACACTGTCCCGAAGTCGTGCGCGAAGCAGCTTCTCAAACAGCTTGCCTGAGGAATCGAGCATGCATAGGGGCCGATATGTCGTTGCAGCAAGCGGATCGCCGCCTTTCCCCTTATTAAACAACACGAGCTTTTGAACTTTCCGTGCGTTAAGGTGGTCTCGCCGTCTAACCCTCGTCAGTTTCCTCCGTTGTTGGTTACATCGTTTTCTTAACTCGGCTATCTCGGCCGTCCACCAGTATGCCGATTTTTTGTTAACCGTAGACGGCTTCTTGCGTGGCATGCTCAGGTCGCATGCTTGCCGGACTAAGGACATTGTATGGGAAGTCACGAGTTCCGCCCCATCACGCATCTTTAAGGCTTCCACCTTGCCGTTTACTATGGCCTCCGCAAACGCTTTAACATTTAGCTTGGCTATGTTCCACCGAGTAATAGTTCTTTTAGGCATGGATAGCCTTACATACTGATCAGCTATATGGAATTTTATATATTGGTGGTCACTTCCTGTGTAATCTTCAAGGACAGACCAGTCAAGTATACGACCCGCCATGTTTTCGGACGCCAAAGTGACGTCCGGTATGGTTTCACCATATCCGGTTCTCCTAAATGTGGAGGTATTTCCAGTGTTAATAACTGTTAGACCTATTCTAGCGGCCATGTCTGGTATCCGCATGCTTCTGGGGTCAGTTTTATTCATGCCCTACTCTATCGCTTTGGCGTTAGGTCTCCCGCCAGAAGTACATTGCCATTGCAGCCCCGCATCAGGTCTTCCAAATCACCGAGCTTTCTCTGAAAGTCGGCTATCGATTCGTTCGGTGTTAGATAACAGCTCACGATCATGATTTTCTCGGTTTTTACCCAAACAAATCCGGGTCCAGCGCCATGTTCAATGTGCCCCGTGGGGTAGATTTAATAGGAAAACTAATAATAGCAGTACTATACTTGTTGCTTACGCCTACTGTACCAAATTTCAAAATTATCAATTAATAATTTCTACGATTCTGTTTTCTTATTGATTAGGACAAATAAAGTAAGTATAAGAGTAGGTATGCATTAAATATATTTAGTAAATATTAATACAAAATATATTAAATTGGTATCTAAAATAAATTTCTTATTAGTAAACAAATTAAACATAAACATTCTAATTATTTATGTAGGTCATTTAATTATAAAGTTAAATTTAAGCCATATTAGTGGTATTTTTTATTTTTTTATGTCTATTTATGTTTGAATAACCTAAAGAATTTTTTCTTCTCAAACGAGATTGTTTCAATTAAAACACATATATTTGTGATGTTTCACCAGAGATCCCCAGCTTCTTCAGACTACAAGTACAGTAAAAAAAATGTTAAATAGGTGTTATTTAAATTTTTTTTTATCTTAGTTATGGGAGTAGGTTATAGGAGGATATAGGTTATCTTAGTTGTAAAATTCTTTTTATAAAGAAAAACTATCAGTATTACAAAATAACTAACCAAAAACAGTTACATGACATATTGCATGTCAGATAATACAATAAAACAAGTAATAAATAATAAAAAAATAAATAGGTGTTCTTTACTTGTAATCATATGTGTTTTAATTGAAACATAGCCTTTAATTTGAGAAGAGAATTTTTTTATTAGGCTACAAATGCGTTACGTCATGAAACCAGTGCGGTAATGAACTTCATTACGTAATTCAAATCACCTCAAATGAGTGCGGTAATGATGACTTATCCAAGCAGTCGTAGATAAAAAAAATTACCGTATGGTTTTGCCAGTACGACGGTGAAACATTTTTTGTAGACAAAATCTAAATAATTTTTTTATTCAAATAGTTTTAAATATTGTTTATTTATAAAAAATGATTAAACTATACTATTAATCAACAAGTATAAAATTTATAATAAATGTTCAAATATTTCCCCACCCACTTCAATACATTTATTAACCCTTCTACTAAAACTTTCTTTACATCTTAAAAGGTTGTCTTGGCTACTATTTCTGCATGTATTTCTTATCCGCTTTTTCATGTTTTCTGGCGTAGTCGGTACTTCGCGATAAACATTATCCTTAAGGACGACCCACAAAAAAAATCAAGAGGTGTTAAATCAGGTGATCTGGCAGGCCAGGACCTACCCTTCCAATCCGTCGGCCAGCATAATCCCGATCTAAAGCTACACGTGCAATATGTGAAAAATGTGCTGGATACCCAACATTTTGCAGCCACATATTTTGTCTTTCTTTCCTGCTCAAATCTACAAGTAACGTTGGTAAGACGTCATCTAAAAAATTTCGGTACTTCTCCCCATTCATCATACCATTAATAAAGTATAGACCGATCAATTTATCACCAATTATGCCACACCAAACATTAACCGACCAAGGTCGTCGATGTAGTTAACGCAACCATCTCCGATTTTCCACGCTCCAATAATGCATGTTATGTCTATTGAGTTGTCCTTTGTTTGTAAAAGTAGACTCATCCGAGAATAGCACGTTACTAAAGAAATTGAGGTTCAACCGCATTCGTTCTTGTGCCCATTGATAAAATATTAATCGATTTTCAAAATCACCTCCATAAAGCTGTTGATGCAACGAAATGTGGTATGGGTGATACTTGTTGCGCATTAATATTCTTAAAATGCTGGTATTCGATATTCTGGCATCAAATATAAGTCGTCGAATACTGACTTGAGGATTTGCCTCAATGCTAACTAATACCGCAATTTCCTTTTCTTCCGTAGTTACAGTTGCTCACCGAGTTCTTTTTCTTGATTCCACATTTCCAGTGTTAGGAAAATCATTCACAACTCTGTAAAAGGTACTTCTCGAAGGCGTATTTCGATCAGGAAAACGTTCTCGATGCAAATCTATACTATCAGCAACTTTTCTGCCACTTTCTCCATAAATAAAAGCATTTCGACTTTTTCTGCCACACTTAGAGTATCCATGATTTAATGACTTAGTTTAAACACTTTGCCTTAATATAAAACGATAGAATGAATTCAGAATTTGTTGCCAAGCAGTTTTTATGCAAATTTAAATTCTCTGAAAGCGATATTCTGAACAAATAGAAATATAATATACTGACAAAGGTGGAGAAATGTTAGAACCTTTTAGACCTCTTTCCAAAGGTATTGAGCCAGGTCACCCGATGTACCTCTTCTAGATTTTTTTTCTTGAGCATTTTTAAATTTTATTCTAAGAATTAAGAGCTAAAGACAATATATCGAAGCAGGTAGGAAAATGTTTAAAAATTCATAAATCTTATTTGTTCTTGCTAGATAAACGTTAGTTAATTGTTTCTGAAGAAGTTTCAATTTTTTTCAAAAGATGTTTTGCCATTGTACTTGCAAAACCACACAGTAAATTTTTTTTATTTTTATTTTTTGAATTACTTTATTTTTATCCACAGATTCAAATATATAGGGTGTCATTTAAAAAATTGGTCGTGACCTTCATATAACCTTGAAAATAAGGTCAAGGTCAAAAAATATTATCCATATTATCATATGGTTTTCCCCTTCGCACAGAACAACTTCCATTTGGTTCATTTTTATGTAAAATGATGTTAAACCTTGAAACACAAGAAGAAGTCAACAGTAATATTTAACCATATAAACGAGTGACAACGAAAATTCCCACTACTCTCAGTTTGGAAGGCAGCAAACTTAAAATATTTTCGAATTTTGACGTTTATACTAATTTTTTGACAATTAATTTTTTTGATTTCTTATTAAATGTTATCAAAAGCGGAACTTGTAGGAGCTTTATGTACGGTTTTGGCTTTCGTTAGTGCCGGCCAAATTTTAATAACCGGAATCCTGTCATTTGAATTTCCTCATTTCTTGGCTTTTAGCCATTGCCATCTATCAACAGCCGCTGGTGTTATATCGGGATTGGTGGCCGTGCCGATGGTTATTCAATTAAAAACCGCTCAAATGTTTATTAAAATCGTTAAAATTTAATCAACATTAATCATCTAATTTTTTTAGATCGCATCATATTGAATTAAAATATGGTTACACAAAATGGTATCAAGTTTTGGCGATTTGTGTATGCGCAATTCTCCATTTTGCAGCTGCGATTTTTACAGCGATAGGCTTGTTGGTGCCAAGGAAATGGGAAGAGGAATTTTTTCAAAAAATGGTTTTATACAATGAAAAAAACTGCGCTAAATCATTAGTTGATAACATTCAATGGGCTTTACAGTGTTGTGGGGCCCAATCTTATAAAGATTGGAATCTTGTTCCTTGGAAAAAAATATCGGAGTAAATCTATAACAATCAATAAATTTCTAATTAATTCAAATTTTTTTTTGTTAGTACAAGAATATCAAGACATTTTGCATTCCCCCATCCAAGAGAATCACCTTCCTTAGTCAACGCCGTTCCATTTTCTTGTTGTGCAAGAAAAGTTCTCGACGTTTGCCTTCATTACAACCTTTTAGAGTACGGCGTTAAAACGATAAGCATCGAAGGGTGCGCCCCAAAAGTTCAAAAAACTTCAAATTTTATTTTGGCGATTGAGTTTGGAATGTTTTCTTTATGTATTATAATCGAAGTATTGCTCTAAAAAAAAAAAAAAATCTTATTCATTTGAGACACAATTTTGTTTTAGAGTGTAGTTTTGCTCTGTTTGTTAAAAGATCGCGATCCAATGGAAGAGATTCAAAAGAACGAGTTATTAAAAAAATATCTGTGAGTGCTTTATGAAAGTTATTATAATTTTTAATGTTTATTTTTCAGTTTTAAAACTAAAAAAGTACCTTCAATCGATCAACGAAAGAAATCAGATGGAGTAGAAGCTGAAAAGAATTAATTATAAAAGATGTGGGGAAAGAAAAAAGAGTAAAAATATATATAATATAATATATAAATATAAAGTTTATTATTAAATATCACCAAAAACATTTAATAATATCTAAACCCGATTATTTCTAGTTCTACTACTAGATTCTATCTATGAGCACTAACATACTTAAAAGTATTTTGTTCGTTATTTATTTTATTTTATTTATCTCAAGTTGGTACAAAAACAGGTCCAACTTTATAACACTGTGCCACAAACAATCAGTTGTATACAAGTTTAAGGGGGGAAGTACATTTAGACGAGCTAAAATAAGCGCATTTTCAAGTTATTTTTTCGTGAAGTTGAAATTAGTTTAAAACCTTTTTGATACCCACTACTATTTAGTGATGCTTTGTACTATAAAAATATGTATTCACATATTCTAAAACTTTTATAGGCGAACGGCAAATAGTGATCAGATAGGGAAACGTTACGGAGTGAGCGTTTCCGTTTCAAACATTCTAGCATTCGCTACAGTGGTTAGAATTACTTGCGAATGCATTTAAATTGTTCCCAACATTCATATCTTCTATGTGAACCAAAAAAAAGTTTAAAAAATTTAAGCATTTAAAAAATACAGGTGTTTTAAAATAATGTTATAACTTTTTAAGAAAATATTGATATATAAATTAATAAAAAGTAATTTTTTAACATAACTTATGTATACTTAGAGGTTCAAATAGAAGGTGATATTACTATTTATATGTGTAACAAATTTAATGAAAATCGGTCAAGTAGTTCATTAGTTATCGTGCTTATAAGGTGTAAATACATTGATTTGAGAAAAAGCGCGTTAAAGTTTCAAGCCGTAAAAACAAATTTTTTTCAATCACGAATAACTTGTTGGCTAGTCTGCAATACCCGGACCGTATAACAGACCTTCAGCTTCTTCATAAAAATCACTTTCGATCGCCAACTGGTCTTTTTGTGCTTTTCGAGCTTCTTTAAACACAGATTCGTTACATCGTTCCTGCCGAGTAATTGGATGTTCGTCCATTTGTTCAGCGTATATGTTGGCTTGCCTCCCAATAATTAGATTTAATTTACTCATTATTTCCAATATGCTACTGTGTCCTTCATTAAATAAACTAGAAACAATATATGGACAAATATCCACTATTTTTAAGCCAGAATCCAGGTGCTTTGGAGCCAATCGCCAAATAGTAGAGTTGAAACTTTCATTGGCATTTTGAGTGTGGCCCCCCAAACATCTTATTAATAAATTTTCTCTGGATAAATCTTCATAAATTGAATATATGTGTGTCTGAACATCTGGATGCAATGGCACTGGATCCTTCATCAAGGAATCCGACCCATTTGATTTAGCTTTTTGCCACTTGCACCAGCTCTCGGATCCTGACGGACAATGTTGGTGATTTGGATGTTCATCTGTAGAGCACATGTGGTAATAACTAGCCATTATCGCTTTTTTCATGTCCTCTGCACTGTTGATATTTCTACGGATAGCAAGACCGTAGTATGTCGTAAGTTTTCTGATTAGAGTATCTGTCAATTTTCCTTTTCCGCCAAGTTTGTATGTTTTTTTTATGTTTCGTAGTCGGGATCCCATCCTCTTTTCAACATGTCCAATACATTCATTTTTAATTACTGGAAAATCGTCGCCATATGGATTTTGTTCTAAAATTGCTTTGAACGTTTTGGAATCTCCGTCCCCTATATAGTTGCCGTATTTTACACCAAACTTTTCTTCGGATCTCAAAAACATCTCTACAATTGCATCGACTTCCATTTTACCGGCAGACCCTCGTGAGTTTTTATGCAATTTTCTTTATGTTCTTCATACCAGTCAATATATTCTTCTGTATTTTCTTTATTTTTATAAAATGTACAGGCTTGACAATAACTGCTTTTTACAGCTACATCGATAACTTTACCAGAATAGTACCCAATAAGCGATGTTACGCCGTATAATGATTTGAATCCGCGCTTTTTCCAAGAACCATCACCAGATACTTTTAAATTCAAGATTGACCTTTCTTGCCTTTCATTTTCTTTCTTTTCTTCTTCAACAGCTTTTCCGCTGAAATATTCGAACACCGATTTGGTGGCTGAATGCTGATGTTTAACAATATTATTGTATGCACTATTACTCAAACCGTCGCATATATCCATAAAATTGCAAAATAAATTTATTCCTTGCCTCCCAATGCCCAGCAGACGCATAACAAAAACAATTCTACGATTTATTTCATAACCAGTTTGAATTAACGGTCCGGAATTTATGTCTCTTCGGCCACAATGACAAAGCAAAACGAGCTTGAACCCAAGACCTCTCATTCCATCTACCTCAAATTGTATGGTATCTTTACATTTGCAACAAATAACAACATTAGCCAAAGCACTGAACACGGTAAAAAACTCTATCAAATGATACGAATGTTGTTTTATTCCCACAGAAGTAGCGATACGGAGTTATAAAAACCGGGAAGACTTATAATTTTCACGAAGAACGCGCACCGGGAAAATACGCTATTTTAACGGAAGTACTAAGAATTTCGCTTTAAAATTTTGCTATCATATTCTTAAGATGTTCAGGCAACTTTTTATGGAAAAAAAAAATTTTGAGTTTTTTGACGGTTCTAAATGAATTTCCCCCCTTAATTACAGTTCACAATGAATTGATAACAATAGTAGAACAGTGAATCAAAAGGAGAAAAATAAAACTAATTATAGGTGATATAAATATCACATATCAAATGAACGGCCGATGCAACACACCAACTACAGCAAAGAGCAATTGAGGCGTTTATTTGAAAAACAACACATGTCCATTTTAATCGAAAATCCACCTTATGCAGATTTACATAGTAAAGTACCATATACACACGTTCCAAACATCAAATAGTGTGAAATCATCGTAGTTGTCCGGGTTAGAATCAATGCACAAATTCGGCATGTTTTGGAAAAACAACAAATGTCCACGCACTTTGTTGTAAAAACAACAGTTGTCCGAAAATATTCACGTGTTAACTTCAACGGCGGCTCAAGGCACTTTTACCATGTTTTTGTTAAGTTTATCTGGCAGTTATTTCCAGCGTTCAACCAACGAGAGCACTTACAACCTCAATAACCATGGCAACTAATAATGATAATAAAAGGCAATAAAAGGAGGATGGCAAATAAGTACTATATTACATTATTTTATTGCCAGTAATACTTTTAAAATGGCAGATTTTGCTCAAGCTAGTACCTCTGGTGTTGTGATTGAAATTTGTGAGATTTCCTCAACACAGAAACCACGCAAAAGATTACGAAAGGTTTACCGATGAGAAATAATAAAACGTGCAAAAGTGAGTGGATTAGCCCACCGAACTCATAAAGGTGACAAAGATGTTTTACCTCGAGAAACAGGACCAGACTGCAGGTCTTTTCGATAAGTTAGTGATTTATTGCATGTTTAAGTTCATTCGTTTTTGTAGTGATTTTGGTGTATATCTGAGTATTTTTTTTATCACAGATGTAAACGCTACAGCTACTTTCAAGTGATATCCCCGGAAATGAACAGGATTCAGAGTTATCTGGACTTACTACCGTAATACCTGTCCAGAAACGTCGCAGCAGAAATTCTTTTACTATAGATAATAATATAAACTTAAGTGACAGTGATGAGGCAGGCAACTATCGTGATCAACAAGGTCCACCACATAAATCATCATTTAAATATAAAATTCGACTACCTGGACAAGAAGTGGAGGTGTGTGCTAAAGCATTTCGTAGTATTTTTGGTGTTAGTGAAATGCGAGTTTGCTGAATTAGCAACAGTCTAGCTATGACTGGATTTTCTCCAAAAGATGGTGTTAAAAAGATGGTCGTAGAAAACATAGGAATAGACCAAAGAAGACAAAACCCATCTATGTTGAAGCAGTAATGGAGCACATTTCCTCCTTCAAAGGCCGACAAAGTCACTACACCCAAAGACTGGACAAAAAGAAAATTTACCTTAGATCAGAGTTAAATGTAAAAAGATGTACAAAGCATTTCTGGAACTTCACCCATAATCAAAAGTGTCTTACTTCGTTTATTATGACATATTTCGAACTCGATTTAATATTTCATTTGCCTACCCACGATGTGACACTTGTACGTTTTGTGATGAGACAGAAACACTACTTAAAAAAGAAGATATTGAGGAATCTAAGAAAAATGAGCTAACCGCAAAAATAGTTCTGGATGTTCCAGAAGAATGGAATGAACTTATTCTGCAAACAAGGTCCAAACCACCTCCATTTAATGTCGTGAATGCTGGAATAGACTCCCAATGGTTTCTAATGGATGAAAGTTTTAAAAACTTATTTTTCAAAAATCCCAAACCAAAAATTTCGCTAAAACCAGCTCGAATGTATCAAATATCTAGAGTATCCTGGGCAAGTGCTAATACGCCAAAATTATCATGGTCCCTGGACATACCATACCATTGCAGGAAAAAAAATATATTCAAATATTCATATATACAGGGTGTTCGCTGAGGTATCCGAGAAACTTCGTATATGAATTCTATGATCAGTTTTAAGCATAAATGATTCTATTCACTTTTCTCGAATTCCAAACGGTTGTTGAGATATCGAGATTTGAAGTTACCAGATCGTATGGATAGATACTAAACAGTAAATAACATGTTGCTAGGTAATTGAATGATTAGCCATTTAATTGATATTAGAATAAAATTGTTGACATTCAGGTCATTAATTGTCATCATTGTTATCAATTGTGCTAATATCATGCCTGCAACTTATCCACATGAAGAGAATGCGGACATGGTTTTCGTGTATGGATATTGCAACGGTAGTACCACCGCCTCAGTTAGGGAATATCAACGACGATGCCCAAACCGCCGTCTTCCAGACAAGCAAACCTTCGGTAGAGTCTTTACAACTCTTCGATTAAGAGGTACAATGCGAAACAATGCTGCAGAAGTGCTTGAGGCTGTTGAAAATAATGATGGTACTAGTACGAGAAGAATTTTGTGTTA